TACAGCTGAAGGAAAAAAAAATCCTTCAGATCAATATCATACATTATAATCCACCTGCATGCAATTGGTGTCAGAACTAGTACTGTGGGTGCAGTAAAAAACTCATAACATCAATTTAACACTACTCTTCTGGGAGTTAACATGAGAATATCCCATTGCAGATGGACAAGTTATCCTTTTACTGAATGCTTGAAATTTTAGTCAAATCACACAGCTCAAGAGAGCATTTGCTGGGATGTGGGTTCACGTGCTTGCATAAAACTTCTGGTAAAAATTATGTCTGCAAATCTGTGTACCTGTTCCTAGTCAATGTTTAAAACATACAATTTTGCTTCCAAAGTGCTGTGTGCTGTCATTAGAAGGGTCATCTAAAACCAGGCACAGGTCTATATACCACATCTATTAATTTTAAGAGGTTCTCATTTCTAAAACATATTTATTTTAGCATAAACTCTTTTTATGGAGGACCATTGAATTATCTTGGTATAGTACAACAACAAACTGATAATATTATAGTACGGTGATGTCAAGTTGAAGGTCTTTCTCTGCAAAAGTTAGTGTGTCATATTCACATGTCCTTTGGGTTGATCATTCTGATGCAATGCACCTTTCCACCTATTTTCCATTCCACCATGTTCATATGTCAGGCTGGGCTATTTTCCTTTCCACCATGTTCATATGTCAGGCTGGGCTGCATGTCTTGTTAAAGGGAGATGACAACAACCAGCACTCAGAGTCAACAACCTTTGTGCATCTGTGCCTACATTTGTTTAATACTTTTATCCCATTGTCACACTTCCTGTGTTTATATAAGGTTTAATGACAGGTAAAGGTTGCTGAAATACAAGTTATAACAAAGCCCTTGCATCTTCCCAGGCAAGAATCTGAGATGCTTACCCAAAGCCCTTGATTTCTGCTTAGAGAGTTCACCAGCTGTCACAAATCACTGAGGGCCCAACTGTGGCCTCAGGCCTCCTCTGAGTCAAATAGGAACCACACATACATGTATGCACCCAAAACAGAATTAGCTCTGTTTATTCTGCAGCTAGCAAGCTCCCTCCATGACTTCCTTTATTTAAAAATAATAAAAAATACATAAATCACTGAATGAATTAACAACTGAATGAAGTGTCCTTTATGATAGGAAAGATATGAAGTATTTTTATACTGTTATGATTTTTCACCTTCCTTATTTTAGCTGACTTGCCCTCTAACTCAGGACTTGGCTCTGACTAAAGTACTCTAAAGCCACTGCTTAGTCTTTGAGTTCAGCTGAATTTCCTGCTGTGCATGGCAGTAGCAAGAGTTGCAAAATCAAGAAACAAAAACAAACCAAATAAGCACACAATCTGATAAGAAGACTTTGATTTTCAGGCGTTATATTTTGTCAGTCTTTTAAACAAATGTAAAAAATAAAATAAAATAAAATAAAATAAAATAAAATAAAATAAAATAAAATAAAATAAAATAAAATAAAATAAAGCTATCTGCTAACATAAATTGTATATGTGAGTAGGGTATTTTGATTTATTTGGCCTATAGCTGTAAGCATATCAAATTGAAAAATAACATATATGTTATTTATGTGTATCTAGGAAAAGTATGTTTGTCTCTGCTGGTGATATATTAACTAGAACAGATCAGAAGTGTTGTGACAATATCTTTTCAATGAGAAGTGATGATTTATAAAAAAACAAAACCTTGCAAGACAGTGTCTATTAAGGAGGTAGAGATTTGAGTAATTAATATAGGTTGATAACCCTTAACAAACGTGTTTTAAATTAAGAAAACTGAGGCAGAAGAATGTCAAGTGACTTTACCAAGTATCTCAGAGCAAGACTTTATAATAAAGGTTAGAAGTTCCTTTTCCACTTGATGAAAGCAACAATTGAAGGTATAGGGTAACAATCAAACAATTATTTAACAAGTGACATAAAACTAGGGCTATAAAAAAGTAAAATCGAATCTAATTTTCCAATGAAAATATTAAATTAAAAAAACTGTCTTTTTTTATGAAATCAAAACATAATATTACTGAGCCTTTACTTGATGACAAGGGTAATAAATTTCCAAACTCACTGATAAAACTCACTAAACTTCATCTAAATTTCTAACATATTATTTCTTTCCATGGTATCCCAGACAGTAAGAGGAAAAATTTAAGAAATAGTCAGGATGACTTAATGTTTCATGTTTCATTGATAAAGATTATATAGTCTATGTTATATATGGAGTGGTAATTCGTGTCAAGAAAATGGTTGATATTAATAAAGAAAGGGGAGATTTGGGAATGTGGCCATGGGGGTTGGAAAGCCCCGTGGCCGAGACAACATTAGACTCTTAACGATGAGGCCATCAGGAATATAAAAGAGTTTAGAGAGAAAAGATAAGGGTGATTCAGGAGACTCCATGCAGTCTCCGGTTGCTTGTTCTCCAGATGGGTTGCTTGTTCTCCAGCCGTTAAGGCATGGAAGTTTCTGGGTGTTTGCTGTTGTTGTTACATTCAAAGTTGTTTGACCAATGAAAAGTTGTTTTGAAAAGAACTGCTGTGGAGAGAAGGGTATAAGAGGGGAGCCTGCCCTCATGAAAGGAGAAGGAAAAAAAAAAAAAAAAAAAAAAAGCAAAAGGAAGGCAACACGATGTGATGAAGTTATGATCAATAAAGAAGCAGGAAAAAGGAGTGAAGAGGAACAGGCTAGCAGAACGGAGACCAGGACGGGAACAGGCACTTTGATTGCCTCATGAAGATAGGTTCGGCCAGACTCAGCAAACTGCTCAGAGAAGCTCGTACTGAAAGTCGCTGGAAATAGGCGCACTGGAGCTGGAAAGAAGCTCAAGCTGAGAGAAGCGGACCTGTGCACACAACTGCCCCTGGCTGGTAAGCAGTTGTGCGTTATGGGGAATCATACGTCCTTAGAAACAAAGACTGTCCTGGTAACCTTACAGCTTATTCTCCTCATTAACAATCGGACAGTTTATGATCCTGAAATATGGGACCAAATTGAGGTCAAGGTGTGGGACTCTGCAACAAAAATGACAAGGTTGCGGTGGGATTGCTTGGCACCTGGCGAGCAGTCTCTGAGAACTTAAAGAGCCCTGTGGGACCACAGTCAGAAACGTGTGGTTTGTCAGACAGTGAGGGAGCTGCGGACTCATTTACTGATCCGACTGCTACGCCATGGGCCCCTCTGCTGCTACAGCCATCGAAGGCTTTTGCTGTTACGCCCCCTGCTGACTTGGACGTGCCTTTTGACCCAGGCCTTACCGGCCTTGAAAAGGAGAGGGATATGCTTTTCTTCAATCTGGGAAGAACAGGATACATAAGGCCTGAAGACTGAGTTGCTTGACAATTTAAAGCGAGACATATTGTTCAAAAGGAATGGAAAATGGAGACTGTTAAGTCATGGAACTTAAAGGACTGTTTGTTACCTTTTCTGATCGTGAATGTGTTTAGGCATACTCGGGTTTGGTATGTAAAGCAATGTTCTATATATTTAGAATGTTTGATGTTCATGTGTGCGTGTTGGTGGAGCGTAGACTCCCCACACACCCAGCACTGTTTACTTGTCTTTTATATTTTTTATAGCTTTTATACCTTTTAGAAATATTTGTTTTATAAATATTACAAAATTCAGATTGAGACCTCATTTATAACAGTCTACAATAAATAAATAAATGGTATTAATTTACATCTGAAGAATCTCAGCAACTGACGTGACCTGCCTATAACATAACCCACACCTAGTTAATGACAAAGATAAAGCTTCAAATATTTCATTCTCAGACTGCTGTCTTACTGCTGCACCACTGACAAATAATGCAATATAAACTGCCATTTAGCATGAAGTGGAAAGACATTTAGCCTTTGTTTCTTTCCTTAAATACTTATCTCTCACAACTTTCCAATTATTTGCTATGAGCCTTTCATTTTCCAGTATCTGGCCCTTACTATACCAAGTTGATTTTGCAAGGTTTGCTGGAGAAGTGGTTATGTCCTGTTTGGTGTGACCAGGTACTTGCCCTAGAAGTGAGTTTTAGCATTGTGCCACTTGAGTTAGACTCTAAGTCCTTCCTTGCCCCCTCCATGTTCCATGCAGCTGAAGGACTGGGGACTGGGACATCACAAGGTGATCTGAGTACAATTGCTGTCTTTCCTTTCCTTTCCTTTCCTTTCCTTTCCTTTCCTTTCCTTTCCTTTCCTTTCCTTTCCTTTCCTTTCCTTTCCTTTCTTTTTTTTTTTTTTTTTTTGAAGTCGTTTCCCTTTTGAGTTGTTAACATTCTTTCAACTTCCTGATCTTTAAACTACAGCTTAGCAAGAGGGGGAGAGAAAGAATCACCTCAATACAACTATCCACCATTGTCCTTCAGAAACTGTGGCTTCTTTTTCTGCATTGCTGAGGGTTACTCACATAGAACTGCAAAGGCATCAGAAAGATATAATGAAAAAACTCATAAGGAAACAATTACCTACTCTTACAATGGTGTAGAAAACATTTTCCTATTAAAGATTAGGGCATTAACCAGCTGCCTGGGGAAAAAAAAAAAAAAAAAAAAGTTGAGAAGAGTTCATTACTCTTTTCTCAGTATATAATTCTCATGCAGAGCCTTGCAGACTGTTGCAAGTGGCTTAAGTACAGTATTATAATCCGTTTCAATTACTTCATTATTATTTCCACCAAAGCAGCTACAAATCCTCTCCTCTGTAGTGGCATCTAACGTGGTTGAGGAGGTGTCTAAACTAATGCATGTTCTCACAAATGATGTTCTACTAAAAGAAAAAGAAAAACGATTGAGTACATGACAAGCGGACAAGTCACTACATTTTTTTTTTTTTTTTGAGAGCAAAGTAGCACAAGGAACAGATTTCTGTGGCAAGATCACAGGTGGAGACAATATTCCTGTGACAACTAGTCTGTTCAGTCAGTTGCACTACATTTTCTACTAATTGGAGACAAATTAGTACTGTCTGGAGACAACACTAAGAACATTGAGCTCTACTCTCCATGTCATACATACTCTCCTACTAGAATATGTCATATGTATTTTGTAGGAGATTTTTAACATTTCTATGTACAGCTATTATTTTTTCTTAGCATCTGATTATTTCATTTTGCCTCTGGGGCTCCACTTTTAGTCAGACATTAGTCCTATTTGCAAATCTTGAACTGCTTGAATAAATTAAGTACGTTAATTACTGTACAGGTAATATCACTTTTGATAACTGCAGGGTTGTGTTTTGGAAGCTTATTAGAATCATTTTATCACTTCTTGTTGTCTTTGTTGGATGTCTAGTTTAAGAGAAGTGTTTGATCTACATATATCTCATAAGCTTGATATTTTGTAAATAGCTTGTCTGGCTCTCAACCCATTTTAATTCAAATTTTTGTGTGGGTGGGTAGAAGACATTTGCATAAAACTCTACAGTTCTATTGTGCAAAGTCCTATTCGATATGAGATTGAGAAATAATTAAGATAAAATCCAGTAACATTCTTATGCAATGTGATCATGTGGGTGTAACTGTGTGTCATAGCATTATCATGAAGGTATTTGAGGCATAAAGTCAAATGCCTCCCTTAGCTTTAGTAAAGGCTTAATATTTTTATCCTTACGAGTTCTGTATCCTAAATAGAAGTGGTGTGAAAGATGTTGGATAGGAGATAGGAAATATTTTTAATTAATATACTAATGCAACCACTGCTTTATAAGTATGTTTGTTATAGTATTGCCTATACTAGAGACTTTTTGTCTGTAAGACTATCCTTTGCGGAATTACACCTTTTTTGCCAGATTTGAGCTCTCTGACAGGAGCAGGCAAGGACAGTGTTTATTGGTATAACCATACCAAGATCGGGTCTTTTGCCAGTTTAGCTATGTATTATTTATGTATGGATTACTTAATTATTATGATGATTTTATTTTTTTTTTCATTCTTTTCAGGGCTTTGTGCACACTCCTGTGTTTTTTGTTGAATTGTCACAGTTCTCACAAAATGTAGCTAATGTATTGACAAACGTCCTCTGTTTGGATTTGGACTGCATTTTAGGACATTCTTGGTTCTTTTAGGCAAAATCTTACCTAAGACTGTGTCTATTGAGGCTGACAGCAGACGTGTAAGTATTACTATCTTTCTGTTGCTTTTTAATTTTCTTTTGCCTTGGAGACAATATCTCTTTAAGAACAGAACTGAAATCAACTATTTTTTTTGTTGTTGTTCTGATATTTTATTGTTATGGTTTGTGGAGACATTTGCTTAAATTTTGCAAAGAAATATACCCGATTCTTTATTATGCTAAGGGAAACAGACAAAAATGAAACATTTCCTTTTCATTTCTTAATTTTGGATTCTTAACTTCAGATGATCTAGGCAGAAGGAGATCCAAAAAGAGAAACTTGAAAAATACGAAACTTGAAAAATAAGTTATTCATAAAAGTGTTCTCAATGTATATTCAATACAATTCACAATGTTATTTTGTTGTCATGATATAATTTCCAAAATAGACACTTAAATCTACACTAATTATACACTTAATTATGTGTCTTCTGGCATTCATTTTTGTTTTACACCTGTGTGATCATTACAGACATCTTCAGACAAAATGTCTGGATGCTGGAAAGCTTATTCAAAAAGCTGAAATATACTTATAATTTACTATCCAACCATGTAAAATCTCAACTTAGACAGCTACATTGATATTAATATATCAGTACCTTACAGGGAGAGTTAATACAATAAAACTCCACTGCAAAGGTCTGCTTTTCAAACCTGGGGCCAAGTTCATAAGTAGACACTATTCCTTTGGTATCAATAAGAAGTTTCATTAGTAAAAACCAGAAAATATCTGCTTTTAGACACTTACTTGAAACGTTGGCTCAGTTAAAGCTTTGACTTCAGCCATTCAATGTTACACATCAAAGATTATTGTTGTCAAAGATTTTATCTTTCCAGCATAAGGCCCAGGTTTATCCTTCTCAACAAATTGCTGAAATCCTATATGAAAATACTGTTAGAAAGCCACTGTTTTGTTTTGTTTATTAAGAGAAAGAAAAAAAAAAAGATAAACAAAAACACTACAGTTGTGGATTCCATCTGAATATTTTGCTTGAAAAATTTGGTCAAAATTATACATATACACCCCAAACTTTCAGTTATGTTTCCTTTCTTTGCTACATACAGGAATTTGCCACAAGTGTCTTAATTCAGACAGCAATGAATTCCTTGCTAAGATTTGCTAGAAAATTTGAAGTGAATGCCTCTTTTAACAGACTTATAAGTAGTGACAGAAGTCTTAATTAATGGACTTCTAAATGGTGAAACACTGTGGCACTGTAAAAATGCTATATAATTATATGATGAATTATATTATATGATGAATTTTAAAGGGCTACAACTGCCATGCAATTGTATAGCTAGCCCAAAGTTTTTCCTATGGCTTTTTTTTTTTTTTTTCCTGACTTGAAAAGACAACTCCTAGGAAGTGAATGATCAAAATAATTGCTTTGAATATATCTCTTTTTTTTCTTACAGTCTTCTTCATAGTGGTGTGGGGAGCAGCTTTGAGCCTCTTGTTTCCTGACCCCTGTACCACATACCTCTGGTGGAATCGATGAGTCTCATGCTGTTGAGTGCCAGGTTTTCAAACATTTTGTGTTTTCTTTCCCACGAGTTTTGTGACCGGTGTTGTGTTTACTCATATGCTGCCCAGACAGCAAGGGAGTTCCTATGATAGACACAGCTTCTTTCTGAGAGTGTGGGGGTGGATCCTCCGTGATGCCTTCCCTCCACACATTTTTATATCCCTCTTAGTGTCTTCCCCTGAGCTAATCAGGTCTGTCAGAGAAAAGAAACTGTTAGAAGTTCACAATAATTTAAACAACACGGTGAAAATAGGTTTTATTTCTTTCCCCGGCAATCTTTTCTTGCACCATCTAGTATATTATTGCGGTCAAACTCTGATAAGCACGTATTTGCCACAGACAATTTTTGAGAAAAGATCCCTTTAAAGAGCATTATAAAGATAATCAAAACTATTTACCTTTAAGTTAGAAAGTGTGTTATTTTTAGACATAGAAATTGTGTGCTTTCTGCTTTTTTGTACTCGTGCTACTATTAGCATTGGTCAAAACTGCAGTTAGCAAAATATTAAATATTAATATTAAATATTGATAAATAGAAACAATAAAATATTAATCATACTTTTCATTTTATGTGGCGTAATGTTGCTGCTTCTAAGTGTTACTTTTAATTCACAAGGACTGCTCTATGGAGGGGGAAAAAAAAAAGATCAGGAAATTTCTCATAATAAATTAGTCCAGGAAGATTTGAAATGTAATTAGAATCTCAGGAGGCTGAAATTTGTTGAAAAGGGGAATTTAGTTGAAAAGGGGAATTTAGCTGTGCTGATCCAACATCATACCAGTATAGCTATTTCCACAGCAGGAGTAATATAGATCATCGCAACTTAAAAAGCCTTAATACTAAATGTAAAAGATTTATTTATTTTCCACCTTATGTGAGGATAGTAATTTCCACCTTTATGTGAGAAAAAGTAATGGCTACTTTTTTGTTTTGCATTTTGTGAGAAAGATATCCTGTCTAGGTGAGTTAAGAGTAAGTCTTACAATGACTTGCTCTAGACTTCTGAAAATATCCTAGCACATGACCATCAGGAAACAAAAGGAGACAAAAGCTGACACTAGGTAAGAAACTCTTTTGATATTTTCAGCAACAAGGGCTCTTAAAACTTAACTGCAGCGAGGAATTGTAAGTTTCACAAAAATTTCAGTTTTATTAAAAATAAATAAATAAATTTAATTAATAAAGAATGAAGGAGAATAAATAATAATTATAATAATTTGAAGAATTAAAATGGAATTATATAAGAAGATTTTTATTTCCATTCCCTGTATCAAAATTCTCAAAATATTCTTTTCCATACCTCATAGAAATATTAAACAAAATGAAATATAGGTTTTATCTGGCCTCCAGGAAAGCTCTAAGGTACTTGTTTTTCTAGACTATGGGTGCAAAAACCTTCTTTAGCAACTAAACCTGAAATGCAGCAGAATTGGATATGAAGTTAAAATCTTTCTTGAAGCACAAAATGCTTGATCTCTTCACAGTATAACTCTACAACGGTACAGCTAACCTATAGATATAGCTTCTTCTGTGTGTACAAGAAGAAATGTCATGTGATTCTCACTCACTATATACGGGATCAGTACAAAACTGGAACGGAAATCTCATAATGGGAAATACGTTCACACAGTAGGCAAAATTAGGTTTGCTACTTTTTAAAGTTATTTAGATTTAATTCAGATTTTAAATATACAGTTTAATCTGTGGATTTTTGTATGAAAGCAAGGAATATAGTTTCATTCTTGACCTAAGTGTGTATTTTCTAGTGTGTATTATATATTTTTATTATTATTATTTTATTTTTTTCTGCAGTCTGTAATTTTTTAATGTATCATCTCATTTGCACTCTGCTCCAGAAATTTGACTCCAGGTTTTGTTTCATTTCTTCACCCTATCAGTTTTCATTGTGAAGGAAAAGTGTTTTAACTTTCTTCTTTTTTTTTGAATTAGACTTATAATAGAAAATTTTAAATCTATCAGTTATGGGAGGATGAGTTTCTGATGACAATGATAAACAGATGTGTTAAAAATGATATGCGGAACTGGTTAGACTTCCTAGCTTTTAAGTTTTCTGACATTTACAATAATAATACAGTCTTTTCACTTCCTTGTAGCTTTAAATATTTGTGTTTAAGACACTGGTTTCTCTACTTTTCTCTCTCTCTTTTTTTTTTCCCACTCTCGAATGGCACTAAAAATAGAATAAGTCTTTTAGAATATGGACCTATTGAATAAGGTTTCCAAAGCAATAATTCTGATATTCTTAAGGTTTTAAGATTTAATCTATTTTTTTTTCAATGAACTTTTGATTTAGCTCTTCTTTAAACAACACAGCTTTCACCTTTGACCACTTTGCCTTGCATTATTTTGCTAGATCACAGCTTTCATGTGCTTGGTAGATATTTTGTTGCACGAGCTACTTTCCACCCTGCTGAAGATTGGTTTCTTGGAAATCACATCTCTGTGTCTGATCTATAGAAAAATAAGAACATGGGGAAATTTCTGTTTTGGATGGCCATCTAGCCCTGACCTGTAAGGCAAAGCCCTATGACATAATAGTCATCTGCTCTAAAAGCGTCAGTTGTGCTCGGAATTTGTGAGAAAAATTGAACTAAATGGGAGGAAAAGAGAGCCAATGATCCACTGCACCCTCAGTTCCTCCCCTTTGTATATTATGATAAAAAACATTCATTTATTCATTCTCGTGCTGAGCATGAGAATGCTCTTGCTTTTGCTCTGACTTCATTCATGTTGCAGCATTTTGTGTCATGGGCCTCTCCACATCACATGCTGGTTGCAACCTCACTGGTCTTGACTGGTCAGTCCGGCTGGCCAGCCACCAACCTGATGGACACATGAGCTGGAAAAAGGAGGAAGGAAGGTTTAGCCAGCATAAAAAGTCTAGTAACGAGTTTGCAGAAATGTTGAGCACAGATGCACCTATTCTATGTGGGGGAAAAAAATGAACAGAACAATAACAGAAAATGCTCTGGAACTAATCAGTACCTGAGCATCCAGAATGAGCAGATACTATTCCTTGGCTCCCTGTCGCTGTTCACCATTGGTAATATGAGGGTGTTTATCCTCTCTGATCATCTTGAATGTTTATGAATGATAATGTGAAATAAATTCATCAATATTAGCTAAATACTGGCACTCAATTAGTAAAAAATAGGTACTCAATTTTCTTATAAAATAAAATAATACAAATAAAGGAATTTTGTCATAATTATTCTACAGTAATTCAGTTATATTGGTAAGAATTTAAATACAAAAAGAAACCAAATAATTGGTTCTTATAGTACCTCATCCATCCTTGGCAGTGACTAAGGCATTATGGGATCATGAAATCCAAAACTGCATAATGGATGTGCCTAAGCAGCTAGAATGAAAACTTTTTCTTATTTTTGACTCCTTGACTTTGCAACACTTTTGCAATCACTTTTTAACAGTGTGAATATGGAAATGTACTCGTGTACACCTGTGTTATAGACTATGCTGTACCTCTGTCAATATTAGTAATGAAAGTTGTTAATGATTGCACCCAAACTTAACTTAACTATTGAAAATGGGTTATTAGGGAAAGAAATTAGATGCTGGTTTCATTAAGAAGTGTGCACCAAAGGATGAGTTTGTTCTGCAAAACATTTCAGCTTCTCTAAACATTGTTAAAGTGTTATCTTTATTTTGTGAGAAAGGCCGGCATCACACAGTCTCTGCAAAGACTCTGTAGATACACGCTTACATGGTAATTAGAGAAGTGCAATTTCTTTATCCTATTCCCTTCTTTGTCTGTCATTCCTTACTTCTTTCATAAACAAGAAAACATATATCTTAACTTGTTCCAGCTTTTAAAAGCACTGCAACTGTGGGATTTGGCATTAGTTCATATGAGTATATGATTCCCAGTTTTAAAGCGAAATAGCTAGCCCCACCAGAAGGAAGGAAAATAAATAAATAAATAAATAATAAGAGATGATTGGTTGATTTTTGGATTCCCTGAGCAGAGGTGAGATGAAAATCTCCAGTGACTAGATGATATATGGAAACATGCATTTATGGAACTGATACCTGAATGCAGTGATGATAAATGAGATCCCTAGCATGATGGGTATTTAAAATACTTTCAGTTAGTCTGAAAGCAGAAGTTTCCTTTGTTATGTCTTCAGCACAAATACAGATTATTCTGATGGGACGAGGCAACATTCCAGAGCAGATTAGCATGTACTGCAGTACTGCTAGTACTGCTAGGTCTGCAGTACTTCATGATCTTGACTTATCATGAACTCTGTGAACTCCAATTGTGTTAACACTAGCACAGAATCACAATGAAGAACACAGCTCAACAACCAGAAGCTTACCATGGTTTTAAATACTGTTCATTTTAACGGATTTGGTAGTGGGATATTCCATATATTTTATGCATGGTGAACCTATTGAGTTGACAGGGTTGCCATTGTGGTTAGGCAGTAAGGAATTATTTTATTTTTAAAATACTGTGATTTGTGTGTATGTGGGTGGGTAGAAGGGTGGGTGTGAGCAGTTGTGGAGGACTGCATGCGTATGTAGACAAAACAATGCGGTAGCCAAAGCCAAGGCAATTTAATGTCTTTTTTTGTTGTTGTTTTTTCTTCTATCCTTAGGATTTTTATTAACTTTGGAGTCAAACGATATTGCCCAAACCAAAAGAGAAAAAAAGCATAAACCCACACCTACATTAGTTAGTTATTACCTATAGCAGATTCTTCAGGGTGGGTATTATGTATGCTTTTCAATTTGTATAGTGACTGGAAAAAGATGTTGCTATTTCTGGAAGCAATGATAAAAATATATAAAAGATATAATCATCTTAATAATATTTAGCAGACACATTAGTGTTGTGATCTTAGAATCAAACAAAGAGCCTCTACTCTAGCATAGAAATGGTTGGGTATCCCTGACGGGGCACCATAGGCAAGGCAGCATGCAAGGCAGCAAGGCTGTGAGAAGTATTC